TTCAGGTGCAGATGCTTTGCCCCAAACTTTGGTGTCATCGGCAAACTTGGCCGTTAAAATTTCCTATGTTCTACCTCTGCCAAGTGTAGAAAACAGCTGAAAGATGCAAGAGTAATGATCTTAATCTCTTAGGCCCCCTTTACACATGCGGTAAAGGTACAATTGGATGGGGCTGGACTCGATGATCCTTCACAGTCCCTTCCAGCCCGAATGTCTATGAAATCTATGGATCTAATACATGATCCACACAATCGCACCACACATGCATGGCAGGAGGCATGATTTTGAGATCGCACATTAGATCCAATCATGCCTTACTGCTGGTGTAGGGGAAGCCTGATCCTTGGCTCCCCTTGTACTGGCAAGAAGCAGGCTCTCACAGCTAGGAGCCCTCTTTGTTGAGGGGGCTCCCAGCTCCAGGGGTCATGTGTAGCTAGGACCAAGAATTCAGCATCTGACAGGACTCTTGGTCCTGCACACCTGACTGGGCTCTCAGTCCCAGGTGTACCACACATGCAGCCAGGACAGAGAGTCCCTGTCAACACCTGTTGACACAGCCAGGACCAAGAGCCCTGTCAGGTGCAGGACTCCAAGGTCTAGTTGCACATGTGGGCTTAGAGGATTCAAGCACCCCTGTGCCTTAGGGATCACACCAGCTGTGGACTAGGGTTTTCACACTGGGCATGGCGCACTCCTGTGGTTGGAAGCCCCATCAGCTGACACATGCAAATTAAACAATGGCCATAAGCTACTGGAGAGAAGGTTTAGACTGGACATTAGAAAAAAGTTCTTCAAGGTCAGGGTTGCCAGGATATGGAATGGGCTTCCGAGGGAAATGATGCTTGCCCCATCCTTGGGGGTCTTCAAGAGGAGACTGGACAGGCACCTGGATGGGATCACATGATCCCAGGTTTGGTGACCCTTTTCTTGCCTGCCAGGGGCAGGGGGTCGGACTAGATGGCCCACTGAGGTCCCTTCCGACCCTGGAATCTATGAAAGCTCAATAACAACTAGCTATAAAGTAAATATGCATTTTCAAAGTCTAGTGTTATAGCTGGTTGGAGCTTTTTATCGTGTAATAAGTACTTTGCATGTGTAGCTGGTCTTAAGGTAATTTTGCAATTAATCAGTTAATTGTGCAATACCTGTAATGTGTAGAGAGGGCATACAGAGCTTCAACTGCAAAACCCAAACTAGGTCCAAAATTTATTGTGGAGCAACTGTTGGGGTAGTTTCATAGATGTAGAGTCCGAAGGGACTTAAATATCAAGTCCGACCCCCTGCCCTGGACAGGAATGTATACTGGGCTCATATGACCCCTGGTAGGTTTGAACTCATGTGACCCCAGCTAGGTAAATATCAAACCTTCTCTTAAAGAACCCCAAGGTAGAAGCCAGCAACGCTTCCCTCGGAAGTTGGTTCCAGATCCTAGCCACCCGGACTGTGAAGTAGCGCCTCCTTATGTCTAGCCTGAACCTACTCTCAAACAACTTATGGCCATTATTCCTTGTTACTCTGGGAGGTGCTTGGGGGAACAGGGTCTCTCCCATTCCCCGCTGGTCCCCCCGGTAAGTTTATAGACAGCCACCAGGTCCCCTCTGAGCCTTCTCTTGTGAAGGCTGAACAGGTTCAGGTCCTGTAGCCTCTCATCGTAGGGTCTGCCCTGCTGTCCCTGGATCATGCAAGTGGCCCTCCTCTGGACCCTCTCGATGTTGGCCACGTCCCTCCTGAAGTGGGGCGCCCAGAACTGGATGCAGTACTCCAGCTGTGGCCTCACCAGTCTCACATAGAGGGGGAGGATCACCTCCTTGGACCTGCTCGTGATGCATCTGTGGATGCATGACAAGTTGCGGTTAGCTTTACTGACTGCGTCCTCACATTGGCGGCCCATGTTCATTTTGGAATCAATAACAACTCCAAGATCCCTTTCTGTCACTGTGCTGACAAGAAGGGAGTTCCCCAGCCTATAGGTATGCTGCTGGTTCTTACTGCCCAAGTGCAGTACCCTGCACTTGTTAGTATTGAATCCCATCCTATTCTCATTCGCCCACCCCTGTAACCTGTCCAGGTCCAGTTGTATCCTTTCCCTCACTTCTAATGTGGCCACCTCGCCCCACAGTCAGACTGATCACCATATTTGGGGTCAGGAAAGAATTTTACCCCATGGTCAGACTGATATGGATTGTGAGGTTTTTTGCCTTCTTCTGTACTGAGGGATGTGTCCCTCTACCTCGGATCTCCTAAGACTATATTCACAACCTTTTATTAAAGCAGACCATTGGCTGCCATGGTTCCCATGCTTTACCTGTGGCAGGTTAGGGTGCTATGCCTGTGTTGTGTCAGGATTAACGGTAGTTTTACGTAGAGTTTGGATTATGGATTGCATAGAAAAGTTTGGGTAGGGATTGTGCTGCCTCAAGCAGGGACTGAATTAGATGACTTCTGGAGGTCCCTTCCAGCCCTACTTGTCTATGATTCTATGAAATCATTTGGGCCTAAATGTCTGAAGCTTCCTCTAAGTCTATTTTTGGTATCTAAATAAACGTGTGTCAAGGATCCATCTTTTAAACACTTCCCCCATCATAAAGATGAACGTCTGAAGGTCAAGGCAGGGTAACAGCTACATGATTTCTCCCTCCTTGAGGCCAATGTGAAGAAAATGTCATTTAACTAGCCCGTAAACTTCTTCCGTGTCCAGGCCCCCTCCTTATAACCTCTTTTTGCATGCATTCTTCCACCCAAGAAAGCTTTTTGGAATGTCCAAGATAACTATGTTAGGATCTTGACATGGAAAGGATTCTCCATGCCCAGACTATTGGGGCACAATCAGTCCCTTCATTTGACTAATGCCACAAATTCTCAGGGTGTAGGTTGTAGCCACGCTGATTTAAAGACATGGACAGACAAGGTTCTTTGGGTAAATCTGATATCTTTTATTAGACCAACCTGATATCAGATTTACCCAAAGAACCCCGTCTACATAAATTCTCAGGAAGACAGATGCCCAGACAACTATCCTGAATGAGGCTGAAGCATCATAGTTATTTATGGATAAAGGCAAGAGAGGATATAAACAACTGCTTTTAAAGAGATTTTTCCCATTGATTTCAGTTGGGCCTTTATATAGAACCTGATTACCTTGGTAAGGAAAAAATGTCATGTGCAATCAGGCTGTAACTATCAGTGCTAATGGACAACTCCAAACTAAGTTGTTAGACTAGTGTAAATTATAATTTATTACCTCCACTGGAGCAGTCAGTATTCCAAGACCAAGGTTTTCAGACATTACAAAAGCACTGGCTACCCACGAAGTGATGGTATCAGGTACAGTTACTTCCATTGTGATGTCTTTGCTGGATCTAAAAACAGGAAGATCACCAGAATTTTGAAAGCAATAATTCATTTCTCAATTAAAAAAAGTATTTAAAATGTGTCAGAAATATAGCTCAAACTCATAACAGGAAAGGTTTTTTTTATCTGTTTTTCATTTCTTGTCTCTTTTAAAAATGTGTTAGGGCACAAATGTAATAATCAAAATGAATTATATATAATTCAGTTTAAAATAATGCCTTCTTCCATATCCTGTAAAAATACTCTTTACTCGCTGGCTGTTTTCCTAAACCTCCAGACACTGTTGTCTGAATGATTACAATAAACACAGTGTATTGAAACTTAGATTGTGCTGCCAATTAGGCAACTTATGATGGTTTTGGGGTTAAGACTTCAGACAAATGCACAGTAGAATGTGATTTACTTTCTGGGCCTACCACAGATTTATTGTGTTATAAGAGAAAAGTCACTCACTGTCTCTGTATCTCAGTTTCTGCAAAGGGACATTTATATAGATTATAACCCATTCATGCAGGAATACTCTCTTAAAATGCATTTGGATAATGCAAGTCTTGGTGGGCCTTCACAATCTTAGCTGTGGCCTCTAGATGGTACTGCAATATAACTAATGACACATTTTTACCCAGAACTCCTCTTCGGCATTCTATGCAAAACACTGTCTACAATGTAGCAGAAGAAAAGTACAAATATATGCCCAAAGTCCACTTTAATATGTGTAACTATAACTCAATTTTCTTCAAAGGTTTTACCTAGTGTTAGAGTCAATCCAAAGCCAAGTCTCTGGAAAATACATCCTTACATGTGGATAACTGGGAGGAGACGGTCTTACTGGAAAATGTGTCTCTGTGTCAGAATCCATGAAGGTTAGTATGTCATCATCTACAAAATGAAAATGAGTATCCAACAGTAGAAAATTCTACATAGCAAAAAACAACCAAATTAGCATGGTTTGGTGGGTGTATAATTATTTAGAATTTTGCAATATATTTGGTAACAGTATTACAAAATAGCATAAACTAATTTTAGACTACTGCACTGTTATTTTTACTTCAAAAGCAATTTTAAGATCTCTATGATTTTTTTTTAAATAATCATACTCACCATATGATTCTATGAAGGCCAGAGGGTGATGAGTCAGTGACATTTAAAACTGATGCAAGTTGCAAATACCTCCCAAACTAAGACCCTTAATGGACTCTGAGATGCCAAGATATCAGCAGAGAGAAAAAATTCCCAAATAGTCCAAATTGTATTTCCAAAAGCACCCAAATCAGTTGGAAGCCTTAGTCCCAATTAAAGCCAATTGATTTAAGCCCCTTTGCAACTTGTATCACATCTTTCTATCAATATGTCTCAAAACATTGTAGGGTTTAATCTTTAAAGCCTTATTCATGAGAGCAGCCAACGTGCATAAAATCTATAGGACTTTTTACAAAGATTAGGGCTACTAGTGTGAGCAGGACCACACTCTTAAGATCTAATCTTGAGCCTCAAGTCTGGCGTAACTAGCCAGTCAAAGTAAAAAAATCCTTCTGTGCAGGCTGCAAGAGGGACGTAGAGCAGGGGTGGGCAAAACGGCGGATCCAGCCAGCAGCTGGACTCCATTTCCCAGCATGCCCTGCCCACGTTGCTGCAGCCAGTTTCAATGGAGACTCCAGCAGCAGCAGCACCATGACAGGGTGGGTCCATGATTTCCATGGAAACCAAGCCCAGCAGCACTGGCAGGGCCTGTGGCAGGGTGGGGAGCTGCTCCGGGGCTGGGGCTGCGATCTTGCAGTGGTCACAGCATGGTCTGGAGCCAGGGCTAAGCCACAATCTGCTACCTGCATGCTCCTGCCTGGGGTGTGTGGGCAGCAAATCGTAGTTCTGCCCTGAGTCCAGACTACATTGTCACCACCACAAGATCCTGGTCCCAGAACCACTCCCTGTCCAGCCGTGTGCCCTGCCAGCACTGCTGGAGCCACTCTCCATGGAAACCCTGGCCCTGCATTGTCAGGGCTCTGCTGCACCTAGGGTCTCCATGGAAACCAGCTACAGTGACATGGGCAGGGCCTGCTGGGAAATGGAGTACACCACAGGCCTGATTCAGCCCACAGCCCAGACTTTGCCTAGCGAGACTGTAGAGACTTCTTCTGTCTCTATAAAATATGCTTATGCACTCACACTTACGCATTAGCTGGATGACAGGATGCTTTCTTCACTGAGCTCACAAAGACTGAGACCTGCCTTCAGTGCATCCTATCATGTTTAACTAAATCACAGTAGTTCCAAAGTGGAGACCTGCTCCAACTATAAGAGAAGGGATTAAATTTGGAATATCTATTTTAGAAATTTGTCTTCAAGCTCAAATCAGTCTTTTGGCACCTCCACCAATAATGACATACTTGCAGTTATTCAGCTACGTACTATAAAGATAAAAATAAATTATGTAAGCCGAACTCACCTTAAATTCACAGGGTTAAATATAACCCTATAGATTTTTAAGGAGTTATTTTGTGTTTGCCCTGGTGTAACTAACCAGAACTTGGCCTCCTTTGCTTATCTTTAACTCTCCAAATGTTAAAGACTGCAGTGGTTTGGTTATGTCTGTGTATACAACTTACAGAGAAAAAGATCCTCATCTTCAGCAAGGTTTGCATCAGTTAATACCCAGAGGTTGCATTTCTAAATAAAATATGTAAAACGTATTTCAGTCTAGGGCACATGCAGTGCTTGTCTATTTTCTCTTTCTTATATTAAGAAAATGAAAGTCCATTTTAACAAATTTCCTACAGATGCTTAGCCAGAATTGTACATAACACAACATGTTTTCTAAATAAGAATCTTTTCAGCACTATTAGATACTGGTTTGGGCACAATTTTTTATCTTTATGGGGGGAAAAAAATCACGTAGAGTCTTCAATATCCATAGCAGATTGTCATGCATTTCACATGCTTTCGTTCCAAGATTTGTACATGATTAACATATTCAGTATTGCCCACTAAAATTCTATGACTACTTTAATTTTTAGAGTTTTATAAAATATTTCTTAATTCCCCCCCAGCTGATGCTCTTTTGATAAAGACAATATTAACTACAGAACAGCACACTGTCTCAGACTTTATTGGAGACGTTGATTTCATTTTCTTTCAGCAGACGATCTACAAATAAATAAGAAAAACCCTCAGTCTCTAAATTTAAGTTTTACCTGAAAGACACGGAAGGGACTTCTAACTGAGGCAAAGAATTGCTTTGTGTTGTACAAATATAATTCATGGAGCACCTAAGAAAACAAAAATGAAATAATCCAAATGATGACTAATCCAAACTGTTTCCAATTCTTTAGATTAAATATATTTCACAGGGTGATAATTTTTAGAGTTATACCTCAGGCAAAACCTCTCTGTTCTCCAGATAAAGAGAAAAGGAAAATCAGAAATCATGTATGAATGTAACAAGGCAAAAATGTGTTAAAAACAAATGAAATAGGGTAGAATTTTTATGAGCGTCTGACTTTAATGGTAATAAGGCCACCAAGCTATTTAGACATTTTGGAAAATTTTACCCATCATCAGCTGTTTCTTCTACTTATACGCTTGGAGATGCTGAAAGTAAAAGGAATACATGAAGAACTACAATTTTTTCCCATCTTCAAAAATAACAAACTTTAATGTTTTTATTTAATGTATTATTTAATTATTCATTTTAAAGAACCCAAAGTTCAGGAAGAGCTTTTCCATCTTCCTTCTTTTCCTAAAGGAAAAAAGGGAGCTGAGTGAAAACTGAGCATTTCTTGGATGAAGTTCAAATGCCCTGGAAAAAGATGAAAAGCTGAGTAGAATACAGCTAAGAAATGAAAACCCCATAGTACAGAATAAGCTTAATTACAAATAAGGGGTCTCATCTTACAAATACTATACACAGAAGCAAAGACATTGACAGATTACGCATGAGTAAGAGATGATCACATACGTTAAGAATGTTCCATTTATTAGTATGTCAGACATGCTACTTATACGCAGAAGCATAACTGGGCAGTTTTGTGCTTAGTGACAGTGGCATACAGAGCAGCGGCCACTGCTAGGCTATCAGTGGTGACTGGAAGAGTAGTGGTGGCTGCTATTTTTTTGCCCCCTCCCCTTAAGTCAGTGCCCATAGCTGACATTCCAGTTATCCCCACTTAGTTACACTACTATTTATATTACATAAAAACTGTTCCCTTTCCATAATCTTGTCTTATAGAAACACGGTATACACAAAGCTTTTTCTTCCTCATTTACTTACAGCATCTTCTGTAATATCAGCCTTTTCTCCTAACAACTTTGCACTTTTGTCAACAACTGAAAGTCCAACTACAGATCTGGATTCAGTTGCACTGATTCTCAGGGAGACTCTCTCAGATGGACTGACCTTATCTTTACTCCAAGATATTGTGATCTGAAAAAAAAGAAGGAAGAGATAAGTTTCAATTACACAGTATTATCTGGGGTCAGCTAATGATTCTCTCTCTCTCAGTAGCTCCTTAGCTTAATTAGTAGTTGAGAATCTAGGTTTGCAGGAGAGTCTTGGGTCTATAGGAAGTAAGGACCATCATCCCTCAGAGGCATCCTAGGATGACTGCTACTTTGGCCAATACTGAGAATGGAACTGGGGATATACTGGAATTCTACAACTCAGAACTAGAAAGATGAGGATCTAAACTATCAGCTTCTCAAAACGGGAGCAGTAAAAACCTTTCATGACCTCATCCCCCCTCCTTTGTAGAGACATGAGTGTGTAACACATACTGGCCCGTGGGTTACACTTCCAGCCTGCAGAATAGGGTCATAAGTGGCCCTTCCACAGGTATCCTGGAACTTCCCTAGTAATGAAGAAGTTTTACCATGTGTAAACAGGTGGGAAAGGGCCTGGGGGAGGTGGAAACCACAAGTCAATATACATCCAGGATGTCTTCCTACATCAGGAGGAGTGGGCAAAATGCGGCCCGTGGGCCAGATGAGGCTCACCAAGCCATTCCATCTGGTCCACGGGACCCCTAAAAAATTAAAAAAATTAATATTTTTCTGCCCCTGGCTGCCTGTCATACGGCCCTTGATGGCTTGCCAAAACTCAAGTAAGCAGCCCTCCACCCAAAATAACTGCCCGCACCTGTCCTACATGAAGAGAAGAGTTCCTTCATCTAGGCATTTCCAATGCATCCCACCCTGGCTGTGGTAGATGCCAGTTCAGACCTCCTGTTTTAGATTAATAATTTTCTATTTTCCTCATCAGAGAACCATATTTGATTATAAACTCTTGTTGTAAAATTGAATTTAAAGAAAAAAAAAATCAGGCAGATCTTCACTGCACTGAACTGTGTGAAAAGTATGAACCAGTAGCAAACATGACACTCGTAGCTAAAATAAATGTGATTAGTTCAAGTTAGTTTACTATAAACAAGACTGTTCTCCCTGGCGCAAGCCCTGCAACTTACAAGGCTCACAACAGGAGCAGTGTTTTCCCCACTGCCCCTGCTGCGAGCCCCGCACTTCACAAGGCTCGCAGTGGTGGCAGCATTTTTCCCACAGCCCCCACTGTAAGCTCTGAAGCTGACAAGGGCTTGCAGCGCAGACAGCACCAGGAATACTGCCCCAGTGCGAGCCCCATCAACTGTGGGGCTCACAGCCATGGAAGCTGGAGCACAGAGAGCCCAAGATCATGATCTCTAGGCACCCCCTGCACCAACAATAAGGCGCAAGGGGAACTAATACACGATCCCACTATGGCACCTCTTGCTATGCACGAGGCAGGATGTGCGATTGTATGGATCATGCATTAGATCCAACATGCAGAGGGACCCTGAGTAAGAAACAAAGAAAAAGTAGAGGAGCACCAATATATCAGTCCGATATCAGATCAGCAGCGACATAAAGAAAATTGACTGTATCAGAAATTGGCCTGACGTGGCCAATAAATGCCCGTGCATGCGTGCAGCGCAGCACATAGCTGCTGAGAAGCACAGCCCAGCAATGTGGAGAGCTGCACGCAGCTAGTAAGTCTGTTGTGGTTGAAGGGGAGAGGGGAGGGAAGAGCCGTAAGGGGAGTAGATCAGTGTCCCCCGCAGTGAGGCAGGGAGTGGCGCAGGGGTTGGGGCAGGTGCTTCCCAGCTAGGGTAGGGCAGGCACAGGACGGAGCCACGGCTTGTTCAAGGGGCACGGGGTGGCTCCTGCCACTGCGCACACCCTGGGAGGACATGGGGGTGGGGGTCTGTGCCCCCGGATCTGTGCGGGATGGGGGAGCTGCAGCTGTGGACTGGGGCCGGGACTGTGCCAGGCTCTTCCCGGGGCATGGGGGCCACGCTCGGGGCTGTGCTCCCGGCACATGGGGGCTGGGCCAGGTTGCAATTGGGGTGGGCAGAGGTGGAGGCACTGGAAGTGGGGGGCCACGGCAAAATTGGGGTGGTTGCAGACCACTCCCCCATAACCACCCTCCCAGCGCAGCGCAGCCCCACCCCAACCCCTGCCCTCCCCCTGACATGCCAGAAAGAACCCGGTGCAGCTCTAGCCCCAGCCCACAGCTGCAGCCCAACTACCCAGATCCAGGGACACACCCCTCATGCTGTCCTGGGGTGCACACAGCAATGGAAGTCACCCCCCATCCTGCAGCCCCCAGACAAGCCA